TCTTTGGTGCTAACTTAGACTAGAAAACACTTCAAGAGATCATCTCCTTTGTAACAGAGAGGCTTTCACTGCACCAGAAAACATAAGCACATCACCGCTGCCTCTGTTGGAAAATACTACCCACCAACCTTACTCACAACTTACTGGATGGCGACTAACTCATGGGCTAGAGTTCTACTCCATTAGGTATATTTTAAAGTTAGTCTATGGATAATGCAATTCTTCAAACTTTTGTTGGCAATACTTGGTGAGAATTGACCACTATGCTTGGAAAGAAATAGAGGATGACAGGTGAGGAAGCAAGACCCCCTCAGACTAAGTACATGATCTGCAAATATGGAGATTCTAAGAATGGCTCAGAGGAACTTTGTCCAGAAGATTGTCATGTTTGATTTTAATTTCTCTCATTGACTGTCTTTGGTTTAAAGTGATATAACTTTCTCTTTCTCTCCTCTCTCTCTCTCTTTCTCTCTCTTTCTCCCTCTCTCTCTCTCTCTCTCTCTCTCTCTCTCTCTCTCTCTCTCTCTCCTGTGTATGTGTGTGTTTAGGAGGAAAGGAACTGTTACCATGGCCCCAAACAGTGACAGTTAATGATGTAACCTGTTCATGGTATGGCACTGTCTTTCACACCAGAATGAGGAGAGGCCTGGGCAACGGACTGATGCTCATGACTTTGCACAGAGTGGGAACTTAGTGAATGTTTTGGATGATTTTATGGTGCCAGCAATTGCAGGCCTGGTTTCTTACAAGTGCAGTCTTGTACACAGAGATATTTGTGGGTTAAGAATGCAGGACTACCAGTTTCCAGTGGTGGTTTTTAAATCCTGTAGTTAAAAAAAACAAAAAACTTGATTGTTTCCCAAACAGAATCTCTCTGTGCTGCTTGTGGGGTGATGTGTACCTCCTCAAAAGGCATCCAGGTTGATTTTCTGCTGGTCCTGGAGAGCAGGGAGGGAAGGAGACATCAAGACCTTGAGGAGCCAGTGAGAAAAAGGCTATGTCCAAGCTTCCAGATTATAAGCACTTGTCCATGCTGTCCTGAGGGCAGGCAGCGACTGGGTTCCAAGTTGGCTGTGCACAGGGAGCTAACTTAGGCCATGCTGAGCAGCAGGGTGGTAAAGGCCCAGAATGGGTGAGAGGGGAGAGAGCTGGTCTTTAGAGATGCTGCATGTATGCTCAGATGGGCCTGCTATCAAGTGAGTGAATTTTCATGTTAAAATCATTTTTGAGCCATTACCATAGTGAACTTAAGTGAATGTGACAACCTACACATAGTAATGGAAGGAAGAACTTTGGCACATTGTGAAAAGGAGCAGAGAAGGTGTGTTTTGTATACAAATCAAGAAGTTCCTGGATGGAACTTGAGTCTTCACAGTCATGAGCAGCGGCATCCTAAGCTACACTAAAATTATTTAAAATGTTTTTAATGAACATTTTTTTGGTTTGCATGATATTATATAATAAAAAGCATTGTTAACATGGAGGTCAACCTTCAATAAAAAGCAGATGAGTATCTTCTTTTTTTTTTTGGCACTGTGGATGGAACCCAGGGCCTCACCCATGCCAAGCAAGCACTCTACCACTCAACTGCAACCCCAGCCACAGATAATATTATAATATAGGTAACAAAGATCTAACACTATGTTTAATAATAAATCAAAATCTTATTCATGAGGGTCCATGACATGGTGAGGAAAATGGACAGACTGCTCACTTCGGCAAGGAGACTAACATTCTTACATGCTGAGCATGGTGTGCGTGTGGCGGGGACTTCAAGGAGCATGACCAGGCCAGGCTGTATGTGCTAGAACCACAGAATTACACAAGCCTCCAGCCCAGCAATTCTACTTCTCAAAGTTACCCAAAGACAGAACATAATAAGGCATGTGAACAGATTAATCCACAATGATGTTCATTTTTAGAATTATTTATAATTGTGCAAACTGTTGGTACAACCAAAACGTGCACATCAGGTAGGCACCACACAGTCTGCTGTGATGAAACACCATGCAGTCATGGTAGGCCAGGCTGTAGACAAACAGTGACCTGAGAAGCGGTTACGAGGCAGTGTGCATTTAAAAAGCAGCCTCTGAAATGTGCTTCACTGTGACCATCTCTTTGCCAAAGTACAGCTATGTTTACAAATGCCTCTAAAAACCTGAAAGGATCTACCAGAATATTAATCAACATTTTATTTTTAGTTTGTAAATTTTGTAAACTTCTAAAATATCTCCTAGTGAACTTCAATTACTTTGTAATCAGAAAAATCAGTTAAAAAATAAAAGTGAGAAAGTGAGATCAGCAGATAATGAGTAAGGAGGTCCCAGTTCTCACTCCCCTCTAGCACCAACAATTTAACAATGACTCATCAACAGAAAGAGCTCTGGGAGACCTCCAGAGAATGAAGAAGCTGCAGCAACCCACTCAATGCAGGACTTTCTCCATCCTCCCAGCTGGGCTCAGACAGGTGACCAGGGAAATCTACAGCCATTAACTCTTCCCTTGGAAGAAAAGAGCAGTAGAGCCCAGGAGCTGTCCCCACTAAGGACCCCACCACAGTCACCACAGTTTTTGTGAGTGGAGACTCCACAGTCCCCACCAACAGTGACCCCAGTTGATGGGCTACCCTGGAGCCTCATGGCCACACCTCCCAGCTAGGGCCCTTGCACACACTCCTAGGACCCAAAAAATGTAATAAAAAATGAGCAGAGAACCTGACTTCACATTTTCCCAAAGATACACAATGGCCAAAGGTATAGAAAAGAGTTCTCAATGTCACTAATCATCAAGGAAATACAAATGAAGCCACAATATCGCCTCACTGCAATGGGAATGACTATTACCAAAAAGACAAAAAATGTGTGCTGGTGAGGATATGGAAAAAGAAGTGAACACCATTGTAAGGATATAATGCAAATGTATGTAATCGGATAAGTGCACACCACTGGTGGTAGTTAGTACAGCTATTGTTGAAAACCATACAACAAATTAGAAATAGAACTACCCTGTGATTCAGCAGTTTCATTTCTAGGTACATATCCAAAGTAAAGGAAATCTGTATCACAGGGAGACACCTGTAGCCCACACTGATTTCAATATCATTCACATTAGCCACAATATGAAAACAGTCTAATTGATAAAGACAATAAGTTATATGCATATAAGTATTATGTACATATACACAAAGGAATATTATTTGGCCTTTAAAAAGGAAACATGTCTTTTATGGCAATATAGATGAACTAGGAAGTCATTATTATAAGTGAAATAAGCCTCACAGAGAAAAATAACTGCTTCAGGAAGTGAAATCTTAACTACAGAAAAGCATAGAAGCAAAGAATTGGATGGTCATTGCCATTTGCTGGAGGAGGGGCAAATGCGGACATGTTAGTCAAGGGATACAAAGTTTCAGTTTTGCAACATGAGTAAGTTCTGGAGATAGTTAAAGTGACTACAATTATTAGAGACTTGAAGCTTGCAGATTGTACCCAAAAAGAGAAATCAGTAAGGTGAGATGATGGATATGTTAATAGTATGATAGGGACAAGTATTTCACAATGTGTGTCTATCTATCTATCAAAACATATATATATGTACATATATAACAAAACATCCTTGTACACCTTAGATATACACAGGCTTTGCCAGTTATCTGTCAATAAACACAGGAAAATGAAAAACATTTTGTGTTGCTATATTTATGTCTATTGTGGCTAGAATAATTGTGTCAAAGTCCATCTATATTGAGCAGCTAATTTTAAGAAAATACTTGCAGAGTAAAACTTATTCACAGACTTGCTTGCTACATTTATTCGTGACAGTCAATTTTGTGATTTTTGCTTGAACTTAATAATGCGTATTTGGTGACTAATGGAATGCACTCCCCCAAGTAGCCTCTGATGCTGTGCACATAGGAGCAGATATTCTGTTGCATCCTCTCTGCTGCTTCCAGGTGTCTCCTAAGGAGGGAGAAAGTAGCTCACACATACCTCACTAGTCCACCCTTCACATGGTGCACACACTCCCCTCCTGGAGTCTTCAGGAGGTCACAGCTGGTGGGTACAGTCAGAACACAATGAAGTACAACCCCTGATAGGGGGTACACAGGTAAATCCAAGGAGCAGGACACTATAACACTGCAGTGCACTGGGACAGTGGCAAGGGGACCCAAAGCAGGGGTAGAGTGGGGAGATACTGGGAGCCAGGACCAAGGGTGGCTTTGCCAATAGAAGGCAGTGGGCAGGAGTCTGAAATGAACAGAAAGCTGCGCCCATGTGTTATCCATTAAGCCTAAGAAACAAAGCACATGCTCCCCTTTCTCTGTTCACCATGAGGTTGGATTTATGTTGTGGTACTTTTCAGTTTTCAATCCAGCCCATACATTGAGGGCCCATGATTTGCACAGGACCAAAGTGTTATGGTAGATACAAAGAAATGTGTGGATATAATTCCTGCCCTCAGACCCTTCTGAGCTGGTAGGACTCCACAATGAGGTAAATCATATTAAAATAGGTCCCATGTTACTTATATCTCTCTAGCAGAAAGGTGTTTGAATGCTAAATTCCACTGTTATTCTCTTGATCTCATTTTATTTACATAATGCTATGAAGCAAACTCAGTAGTTTCAATCATTTTTTAATGTATACCCAATCTCTTTCTTTCGTGAAGACTACTTATGTTCATATTTGTTGATTATGTAATGTGTCAAATAATTTGATGAACTCAGAGGTTTTTATAACAAGTATGTGTTTCAAAAGGTGGTCCATGTGATAAAGCATCCCTAGCAATGTCACCTTGCCCTGCTAAGCCCAGCATTTACCAAGGAGCCCCTTGTCTCTTTCTGTTTCACTTGGACCTTGCATTGGAGTTAAGTGAGACATGTAAGTGAACCCCATCATCACCCCCAAACACAATTTGGCATCCTCCTTCTATGCTACGTAGAAAATAAAACTATGTGAGCATCTCCTTTTATACTCACTTGAAAGAACACATTTAGGAGTTCACATGTCTTGGAAATCATTTGGATCTTTGAATACTTGGGCTTCAAATCCTGTCTGGCTCTGTAAAATAAGTATGCAACTTAATACAGACTTCCAAAAAAGGTAGAACAAAATGAAGTGCTCTGTGTGTCTCTGTGTCTGAGCAGAGACAGATAACTAAGGGAGGGCAGGTGTGGAGAACATTTTTAGTCTTCTTGTGTTTTTCACTCACAGATATGGTCAGTGCTGATCATGTTCCAACCACAGCGCTTGGTTCTGGGGCCACAAAGATGAACACGACTCCACAACCATCTCTTATGACCCAAACCTGACAGCAGAGACTGGCCAGAAGCATAAGTCAGGGTATAGGAGCTGCAACAGGGGTCAGCCCTGTGGACTCTGGGTATCCTGCAGGAGAGGTCAGGGTATGGCCAGGTCATGGAGAAGAGGGAGCAGCTTCCTGGAGCAGCTGACTGAGAGCCACTGGTGAGGAAAAGATGCTGTCCAGTAAGACAAGGATTCAAGAGTGCTCATGGGATTTATTAAGATGGAAGGTAGGGTGACCTCAGCAACAAGGGACTCGGGGGTGAATGAGAAGGAGCAAATGGTAGTGCAGGTCTTAAATGTGGACAATTCTTTTTTTCCCATTTATTCATTTATTCATATGTGCATACATTGTTTGGGCCATTTCTCCCCCTTATCCCCTGAATGTGGACAATTTTTGCAAGAAGCTTGGCTGTGAGAAGGATAGCTATTAGACAGGAAATAGAAGTAGCTGTGGAATTAAGGCAAGCTCTCTCCTATTCCTTCTTTTCATCTTTTTTTCCTTCTTTCTTTCCTTTCTTTACTCCATTCCATTCTTTTGTTTTTCAGATGGGAAATTTAACATCTTTTAATATGCTGACAGGAAGGTTTAACTAGTGAGGCAAGAGGCTGAGGATGCTGGATAGGTCAATGTGAATGGCAATACAGTTCCTGAGGAGGAGGATGGTACCTCGAGATCATCCATCTATCTAGCCTCCATCTGTCTGCCATCATTCATTAGGCATTTACTATATGTGACACAGGATGTTGGAAAACAGAGTGAGAGAACCAAGTGCTTGACCTCAGGGAGCTTGCATCTATGTGGTGAGACAGACAAGAAGTCAACTAGTAAATATGATTTCAGAAAGAATTCAAAGAAGAAGAAAACAGGGTTGGGAATGGAGAGGGTAGAGGAGATCAGATGGCCAGAATGAGGAAGTACATTGAATGGAGACTGGATGAAATGGGAGACTGAAGCACATGTAGCTCTGAGAAGAGGGTGCTGGCAGAGGCCACAGCAAGTGCAAAGGCTCAGAATGAAGAACAGCAAGATGGCTGGTGTAGCTGTAGTGACCTGAGAGGATAGGGGACAGGAGATGTGGTGGGGAATACTGTATCCACTTCAGAACCCACTGGGGTGGGTTGAGTAAGGGTGGGGCATGGTAACATTTGCATATTAAAACACAGTGGACATTGTGGAGAAAAGGCACTAGGGGGTCCACAGCGGAAACAAGAAAGCTAATGATCTAGGCCAGGGGACGATGATCTTGCTAACAGATGTGGGAAGAGGTTATTTTCAAAGCTATATTGTAGAGGCATAACTCAGAGTGCCACAGGACAGAAATTAAAGATGACTTTCAGGTTTTTGGCTCAATAGTTGGATGTGTGATGGTGCCATTTAGTGATGTGAAGGAGATGGGAGAGCATGTCCAGTAGGTAGTTGGAGATATAAACTTGAGCTTGTGGTTGGGGGAATTAATAAATTACATCAGTCTGCCTGCTTAAAACCTCTAATGAATGGTCATCATTTTCAAGACAAACCAGCTGCCTCATCCCCAGCCTCCTGCACCAGGTTCTCTTCTGAGACAGATTCATTTGCACCTTTTGCTCACTCTTATTCCCCTCTACTACACCCATTTTGTACATACTTTGTTCCTTTTGCTTAGATTATTTTACCCCATTTTGCCTTTGTTAGTGTATCCTTTGAAACTCAGGCTTTCCTTCTCTTACCTGCCACTCTCAGTGGTTCATACCTGCGATGTGGATGCCCTCTTCTCATCATCACCGTACTCCACACATCTCTGTGGACTCTGGCTCCAGCTTACCCAGGCACTCCACTAGTGAGTGAGTGAACTTGACAAGTTGCCTAAATTCTCAGAGCTCTATAAAATGAGGATAATAATACCACCTACTTGATAGGGTTGTTAGAGGGCTTAAATAAGGTGGCATGGAGCACAGAACTTATGACACTGCCTGGCATACATGAAGCAAAATACAAGTCATTAAATATTATTATAATAATACTTATCACACTGTTGTGTAATTTTTTCATGTTGGTTTTTGCCCTTGAGCGCAGCCATTGAGCCTTTCATCTGTGTTTTTGATTATACATTAAGTCTCATTAATTCTTTCTAACATGAATGAGTGAGTTCATGAATGAAAAATACAGCATTGGGCTACAAATAGTACCATGAAATAAACTGTCAAGTTCTCCTTTAGTGACCCTCTATATTTAAAAGCTGTTCTGTGTATGAATGTGGTTTGTCTGATTCACCACTCACCAAACTAAGTTCTAGATTGTTTATCCTAGATTATATTTTGGTTATGTTCCAAAAAAACTAATATTATTACCTTTGGATCAGGTAGGCAAGGTCCAAAAGCTTCCAGCAAAAGAGTTTCTTCTCTCACAGCTTTTTCATAGTCTGCAAAAGACAGCTTTCCATCATGGTCATGGTCCTGGGTGGGGGAAGTGAGTAGCAATGTGTGAGTCATCACATCATATACTTATTGCAATTGCATACTCTATTCATGGTCAACTGGTAATAGAAGAAATGTACTAGAAAAAATAAGAGATTGAGTTGTGAAATTGTAAAGAATTTTGGGAGAGTTCTGGAATTGAACTCAGGACTGCATGTTAGTTAAGAGCTCTGCCACTGAGCTACACCCATAGTCCAAGAGAATTCTTAACATTATAAGAACAAGCATAATTAAAGTGTTTTATTTAACTAAACAGGAAACCAAAAATTATCATAATTTGGATTCTCTTTTCTATCCCATATGTGGCCTATAAATTTCAATATAAGACTCTAAGTTACTCATAATTACCATTTTCTTAAGTGTTATTTCAACCAAATCTTTAATTCCTTCATCAGGGTCTTCCTCAGATGGCTGTTTGAGAAGGCTGTTCTTCAACATGTGAAACATTTCCTCCTTCGAAATAAAGCCATCACCATTCAAATCAAACACTTCAAAGCAATCTTTTAAAAAAATAACAAATCATGAATTTGATACTGTTGCTACGTTAGCATTTTCTATGACCAAGTTTTCAAGACCAAAACTTATCTTGCCAACACTTAATCAGCTCTGTGAGCCTTGGTACAAGTTGGTGTTCATGGCAAACGTTAATGTGTACTAGCAGATTATGTTCACCAATGTTCCCAAGTCTCTTACTCTCAGCAGTGCAAAAGCATACCTAGGGACAAAAACTTGACCATGGTCATCTTGACCCCTTGGAAAGTGATTAAATACCACTTCAACTAAGTTCATTAGAATTAATTGAACACCTGAATCAATATTCCCTGGTTATATGGTTATAATTAAGTAATGTAAAATATTTAATATAGAAATGTAAATATATATGCATAATTAGAATGTATAGAAATGCCTATACCACCTTCCTTGGCATAAATTAATTCTCAGAATTCTTGATTTCCTTTCTCATCAATAATCTTTTTTCCTTTATTGACTTAAATTCACTCCATACAAAAGTTAATGAGGACTCCAACCAACCAACCAACCAACAAACCCCCTTCTTTGGCTGGCTGGAGGACAGTGATTAAACATTTTAGCCATGTTAACCATAACATATAAACATAGAGTAGCCTGTACTCTTACATTTCATTTTTTCTTCTAAAGTTCCTCGAAGAAACACAGATAATCCATGAACCCACTCGGACACATTCACACAGCCATCATTGTCTCTATCAAAACCTCGGAATACTGAAGAGATGGAGATATACAATGTAACAATTGTGCTTCAATTTAATCCTCCAAAATGTATCTGCCTTGACATTAGTTGACTTTAAAATTTAGAGACACTTCAACAAAATTAGAGATTAGGGCAGAACAGTTTCTGCTTGAAGCGAGGGGGTAGCGGGGAGAGGGAGGGGGCTGGCGGGGGAGGAAGGAAAGGGGCTGGGGGTAGGGGGGAGAAATGACCCAAACATTGTATGCACATATGAATAAACCCAAAAAATAAAAATAAAAAAATAAAATTTAGAGAAAAACCCTAGGATCCCATGGCCCAATATTCTCATTTGACCAGGGAGGAAACTAAGACATCATAGCATTAGAAAACTATTTTAATTACACACTGAAATTTTCTCTTTGTGTTTTGTGGGAACCAAGAATATTCTGAATATTAAAATATATGAATCATTAATAATGTAATATATTGGTGTAGTAAATGTGTTAACTGTATTAGACATGTTAAATATATTTATATAAAATATCTAACTTTAGAGTTATATTACTCAAGACTAGTGATAAACTACATGATAGGACTGTAATTTTAACTTTTGTTGAGCTATTTTCTAGATATAGGGAAATTTAACTATTTAGTTAAAACTATTTTATTGCGTCTTCTAAGTACAAATATGAGTGTTTAGGGTTTTTTCTTATATAAAGTAAGGGAAGTGTTGTTATTCAATTTGACTTTGTCTACTTCTTAACTACAAAATAAAGAGTATTACTTTTCAATGATCTTTGGAAAATTGTTTTTATATTCAAGTAAAATTTGAATGGAGAATATTAAACATTCTACCAACAGTATGACCAAACTCCCCAAATTTTTTACTTACGGCTGGATTTGGCTGATTTGAATCATATGTGTCTCTCACCTCTGTCCATGATCATGTCGTCTGTCATTCCAAATGTTGTGTGTAGGATGTTTCGAAATGCATTACGATCTAGTCCAATGACCATACCTGGCCGCTCCACATCTCCCACCAAGTTATAGAAAAGCTTTATGAGACAGTTCACTTCAAATTTATTAACTGTAGAAGAATAAAATTCAGATGTTACAAAAGTTCACTTATAAGTTTTAAGGTCTAATTCAAATTTTTCATTGACTTCATATACATACAGCATCAGAGACATCAAATATGTAGTTGTTTTCAGAAGGCGTTTTGACATTCATGATGCTTAAGTAAATGGCAGGTGATGAGCAATGCTGCATGCATTGTCCACTAAGAGAAAGGTAGCATTCCCTCCAAACAATGAGCCAAATAGTAACAGAGAAAGACATTTTTATTTAAAGAATATATGCACACAGGTACTTGGCTATATGCATAATTGCATAAAGGGTGTTTAAGAAAAACGAAGATAGGATTAGTCAGGCAACAAGAATAATGATTGTGATGCCAGATTCTACACTTCATAAGAGTAAGAAGTCTGATTCAAAATAACAATGGTTGAGACTGAAAACATTTTCCTTAGTATTTTGATTATAAATGTTCATGAGATTTACAAATCAGCTTTTTTTCCTAGAAATAGATACCAGGCTCCTAAAAACTAAACTAAATAATTTTTTTCATTTCACTTTAGCCTTAGTGAATTCATAAACTGGATTTTGGAAATCAGAATCACCTTTTCCCAGTAAGGAAATTTTAAGCATATTCTATCACACAATATGCTTTCTTTAAAGGATTATAAGACAACTAACATGCAACTACTCAGTAGTACTCTGGAGAAAGACATTTTTATTTAAAGAATATATGCACACAGGTACTTGCCTATATGCATAATTGCATAAAGGGTGATATTTATAAATGCTGAGTTAATTATTTGTGTTCCAACCACCACTTGAGGCACCTAGCTGGAAGGGTTATGGCCGAGCATTAAGAAACATAAAAGTGAGTTTAAATATGAATGGAAAATTTTATTTCAAACCCAGATAAAATTATAGTTGAATACTTTCAAAGATAAGGACAATATATGTGTGTCTAAGAGAAGGCAGCACATGGGAATGGAGAAACCACACCTCATCCTTCAGGTCAGGAAAGGCTGGAGTATGGTTTCTGGTTTTGAGAAGCACATTTTAGGAGAAAAAAAAAACTTTGTAAAAGGAAAAGATTTAGTAAATAAATATCAGGAAATAATGTAATTATTAGTTATGATTTTAAAATGAGCTGTTAATCACTGTGAAAAACGTTATGGTGATTCCACAAAATTTGTGTCCAGCAATTCTACTTCTGAATATACACACAAGAGTACTGAAAGCAGGACCTGTGTTTGTTGTAGTATTATTCACAATAGGTAAAAGGTGGAAGCAACCCAAGTGATTATTGATGGATGAATGGCTAAACAAAATGTGGCAAATTCATACAATGGACAGTATTTAGCCTTGAAAAGGAAGGGAAATCCTATTGCATGCTATCAAGATGCATGAATATGAATGGCCATTAACATAAGCAAAAAAGTCAGAAATAAAAGAACAAATATTACATATTACTTATATGAGGCACATACTCCAGTCAAATTCATAGTGACACAATGTAGAACAGTGGTTTCCAGGGGCTGGGGGAAGGAGTGCATGGGGAGTTGATGTTTAGTCGGTACTGAAAAAGATCTGGAGATGGATAGCAGTGACAGCTATATTACAGTGTGAATGGACCACTAGTCTGCCTGCATCTGAAGTCCTGCTTTCCAAGGATTCAGTTACCCACCATCAACTTCAGTCTAAAAATATTAAATGGAAAACTCCTCCCCCAATTTATAAGAATAATATGACTTTTACAATATATTGTTATAACTGTTCTATTTTATTATCTATTATTGCTGTTAATCTTTTACTATGTTTAATTTATAAATTAAAATCTATCATAGATATATACATATATAGGGAAAATATTGAATCTATAAAATTTGGTACTATCTACAGTTTCAGGCATCCAATAGGGGGCTTGAAATACATTCCCCCATGGATAATGGGGGAACTCTGTACTTAATGCCACAGAAGTATACACTTAAAACAGTTACATGGTAATTTTATGTTATGCATAACACATACACATATATACATGTATGTATGCAGAGTAGAAGAGATGTTAGTGGCTCAGTGAGAAAACTTACATGAAGAATAATTACTCTGTTGATGTACATGAAATGCTATCAGGAGAGGTCAATCGGCTATTTTTTTCCATCTCAGCTGAGATGAAAATTAGCTTGATTTATGTCTCAAAGGATCAAAGGCTAGCCATAAGTAAACCTTTTTTTACTGAAATATTTTTAAAATTTTAGATTACTACATGAAGAGAAGAGAAATTCAAGAATGGCTGTTCAGTTTTTTAGCATGCTCTGTGTGTGTCCTATGGGTCAATCTGTAGAATGCTGGGTTAAATAGATGCTCACGTAAGATCCTTTCTTCTTCTCTGGCTCATCCATTGCATTATCATTTGACAACTTAAAAGAAATTTACTTTAGGTAAACCCCCCTGTTTAAGGAAGTTTAAAATTATTATAATATCCATGACTTGTAACTGTTTCTAACAGAATTTATTATCATTTACTTTTAACTAGTAATTATCAAAGTTTTGGGGGCTCACTTTTAAAATTTTATGTAAGAACAAAAATCATAAGTTGATTTTTTTCCTGACATGTTTTCATTTATCTTTCAATTACTAGCAGAATGTTCATTTGCAATGCATTGCAGACTTACTGAACAGAGACTAAATCACATTCAGTACTGTGTACCACAGTTATTGCATTGTTTATGAGTATTACCAAAAATGTCTATTGGATTTCCTAAGAATACCTACTCTTTTTCCAAAAATGAAAGTGTTTTAAGAAAAACAAGATTTTCATTAAATCATAATAACCATAATAACACCTTAAATTACAAGCCACCTGTTTTCTAAGAATTTTTTTTGTCTTTTCTTTTTTGGTGCTGGGATTGAACCCAGGGTCTCACGCATGCTAGGCAAGCACTGTACCACCGAGTTACATCCCAGCCCAATAAGAATTTTAAGTTGCTTATATGCACCATAACTTTTATTTATGGCACCATCCCACCAAGACAGCATTTCTTACCACTCACTACATCAGATACTAGTGGTGATGAGAAGGTACCAGATCCTGGAATCTCCAGCACTACATTAAAGCATGTGTACTCCTCCTTCTTTGCACATAGGGGTATTTTGAGGATCATGCCTTCTCCTGTTTCAAGTGGCCAGCAGCTCTGCAATCAGCACATAACTTCTAAGCTTCCACAACAGAAAGTATTTTCCTTATCTAAGTCACATCCATGCTTCTCAGGCCAAGTACAGTTCTGTGGTTGAGTCTGACTACAGTCCTAAGGTGTCCTGAGAAGTTTTATGACTGCTTATTCAAATGTGAGATTAGAGATTTCTTTCTTTCTTTATTCTAACTGGGGTTTGAACTCAGGGCATCATGCTTGCTAGGCAGGCACTCTACCGCTTGAGCCTAATCTCCAGCCCCAGAAGACATTTTTAATAAGCAATCTGATCACTTGCGAAATCTCCTTTATTTTTCAACCTCACTAAAAAGTGAAATAAAGTTAGGAACAAATTCTTTACTACGTGTTTAGGTTTGCTGAGTGATTTGGTTTCCAAACAAATCTACTTGCTGAGGCACAGGTTTCTATGTCCCTTCAACTCGTCCTTCCTAAAGATGATCTGACATCAAATGAGTGTTTTCCTCCATAGATCTGTGGCTAGACTTTAGACCTGCCGGTTTATTTCGCTCTAGAAAGATCTAGAAAGCAGATTAAGTTGCATGATGTACTTGGTTCTGCTACTTTTCTTGACTCCAGTTTCTTTTAGCACTTCTTTCGCAACCTGTCTTGAGGCTAAATCCACTTGTGGGCACAAATCATCTCGTTTCTATAAAGCAAAAATAAGGTCTGATAGCAAGCAAGTGCTGTACGGGAGTATAGGCAGCACTGGATGCGGGATCCTGGGAGTGGGTGCAGGCCCAAGGAGCTAGTATCCCGGGATGGAATTCCATTTCAGACGTCTCTTTTTAGAGGGAAAGGGTAGAGGGCGATCCATCACACAGATCTTGGAGACAGGAAGCAGACACCAAGAACCTTAACACTGGGTGGGATCTAAGCTTAGCCCAGCAGACCCAGGAGCTTGTTAATACCTGATCTTACTTACAATGCTTGCTATTTTTAGTTAAGGTGTCCGTCAACTTCTGTAGCTTCTTTCGGTTCATGGCGAGAGCTCATGCAATTGGGCCGCGGCGCTGGCGCGTATCTCCCAGCGCGTGGTGCCACGACCCTCAGAAGCCTGTAGCTGGGGCAAGCTCACCAGGTCTGTGCTACCTGATGCATGCGCGACCCTAACAGATGAGGCGGCCATGGCAACAGCTCAGCTGGCCACTGATTGGCTCCTGGGCTGAGTCGCGCGGTACGTATAAGCTGCCCAACAAGCAGAGAGGCCATGGCAACGACTGAACTGGCCGCCGATTGGCTCTTGGGTAGGGGTGTGCCAGAAGTTTACAAATCCAACACACAATGTAGCCATGGTAACGGCGCAGAAGGCTGTGAATTGGTTCCTGGCTGGGCTCCGAGTGGGCGCGTGGTCCAGTTGGTGGGCACCAGCCAGGCACATTGCAGACTATATTCTGATTTTTAACGTTGGAATTTTAATTTTCAGTTGTCACTGTCTTTTGGGTTCACAGTCTCTTAGACTGCAACGTAAATAATCAAACTCTAAAAGCACAGTGTGCACGCTATTGGAGGGATGTTTTGGGTGGTGGCGTCACCCCTCAAGGTGAGGCGTAAGGTCTTTAGAGAGATCTGGGGGGAATTGAAAGAGCTTCACGAAACTGTTATCCAGACAATTGTATCCGGCTTTGCGCTGGCTGCTGAGGAGCTTGAACTTCGGCATGAAGTACCTATTAGGTTGTTAGTCTTTGTGTCCTGACTTCAGCACGGAGCCTGACACAAAATAGCTTCATGTTTTTGGCAATGTTGCTGAGAGTAATAGGAAAATGGAATCCGGTTTTTTCTTTCTTCCGGCTGCTATCTCACTCATTGAAGGAAGAATTTGTCAGTTGAATTTGGGAAGAGATGATGTCAATTTTTAAACTAAAGAGGCACCCTCCCAAATGGAAATAGGCCGCCACTTAGTTTTGGGGTAGAGTTTAACCTTGATTTTCTGAAAAATATTCCATTAAAACCAATCCTTTGGTTCTTTGAAAGATAAGTGCCTGCAAAGAAGGAAGAAGAAGGAGAAGGAGGAGGAGAAAAGAACCGTCCTACACCCGTAACGCTGGAGGACTTAACTGCCCTTTTTTTTTTTCTTTGTAGTGGTACCGGGGTTGAACTCAGAGCCTCACGTTTGCTAGGTGGGCACTCTACCGCTTGAGCAGCACCGTCAGCCCTTTTTGCTCCGGTTATTTTGGAGATAGGGTCCTGATTTTGCCCAGGCCAGCCTGGACTGCGATCTTCCCAATCTCAGCCTCCTAAGTAGCTAGGATTATAGTGAGAGACACAGGTGCCCGGCTTTCTGCTTTTCTTAAAAAAAAGCAGACCCTGTTGGAATTTAGACAAAGATGACCCTGTTGGAATTTAGACAGCAATGGAATGAGCTAGGTCAGACCAGAGCATAAAACCTACAGAATTCTCCATAGTGCCTACTTGTTTGACTTCAGAGAAGAAAGGTCTCAGAATCTGTACCATTTTATAGTATTATACTCTTGTTTTGTTGTCACTGAAAGCAGCAAAATTCTGCCAACCATGAGTAACAACCCAAAATGAAATATTTCCAATGTTGAAGTATTGGTGTTCTCTTGCTGTTTCATTTGTTTGTGGAATGAAGGATCGGGATGCCGTTTGCAATCAAAGGAGCGAGTGCTTGGTAAAGGCAGGGTCTGTTTTACCCTAAAGCAAATCACCTGAGACCATTTAGCCACCATGAATTGATAGCTACTATGTGTTTCTACAGGACTTTGGCTAAATGGTATTACTGTGTGAAGCTGAGAAATTTCTGATCTGGTAGGAAACAAATGGGATGGATTGGATGTATTCTACCTGCACTTACCTATGAAACTTTAGTGGATTTTTGTTAGATTACAAAGTTGAATTTGTAGAGATTATTGTAGTGCTCTTTTCAAGACAGGGAGCTGGTGTTTTCAGCAGTTAACAAGGGCAGCAGTGGGCAGGTGAGGTGTGCTGAGGGTCACCCTGTGTGCATAATGGGGAGCAGGCCTCACTGCTCACGTGATAGCATGATGAGCTTGCCTGGGCATCTTGGGAGATGCACTGGGTGCCTCTGGGGAACACCTATAGGTAGGCTGGTCACTTGGCCAGGGCCCATATGGTAAAGTGAGTCCACATTCCTTTCAAGTAGAAAACATGATGTGCACAGAATATGTCTGTTGATATTAAAATAGGCAAATGTGTTACATCAGGCAAGAATTTCTTAGTCAGTTGAGCAACATTTGTAAGATGTCTCCTGCCCCCCCACCCAACAACATCATCTTTCTCCCTTTCTCCTCTCCCTCCCCTCTTCTCCCCCTACCTCTTCTGTCCCCTCCCCCTCCCTCTCCTCTTTCTGGTTAAAATTAATTGTGTGAAACTCATTTTAAGAAAGTAGTCTTCAGAGTTTACCTTATCATAAATTCTTCTAAATCTTTGTCAGAGAATGTACAATATTTATTTGAGGCATGTTTTGTCAAAATATGGGTAATCTTTAGAGCTATCTTTATATTCTTGTGAACTTATTTTTCAATTCTGGGTTTTGAACTCAGGGCTCCAGCTTGCTAGGCAGGTGCTCTGGTACTTGAACCATTTCTCAGCTCTTTTTGCTAATAGGGTCTCATAGTTCTGCCCAGTGCAGGCTCTTTAGACTGTGATCCTACTGCCAATGTCTCCTACATAGCTAGGATGACAGGCTTGCACCACCGTACCCAACCCTCTTGCAAATCACATTTTAAAGCAAAATCGAAACTTCTGTTTGTAGCTTTTAGTTGCTTGTGCTGAGTAGACTCAGGATTGCCTTACCCCAAGAGCTTTTTCAGAGTAAGGCAACTAAGGTTGAATGGTTACCTCATATTAAATCAATCAATAACGGAATAATAAAAGGTTGTGTTTAATTTGTATTGGACACACATTTTACTGTGAACGAAATTATTGTAGAACTTTCCCAAAACTAAGCAACCTTGAGATGCATGCTTTTTAAATACAAAAGCACATTAAAGTGACGACTAATGCTATAATGTTTCCTTTAATTTTGTGTGCAAAACACCCTTCTCTTTGACTCACCATTCACTGGAATGTTGCCATGAGAAATAGCTTGGACCTTGACATGATGAAAGTGTTTTCTTTAACATGGACCTTTATGATGAGGGCATTTGGAGGCTGTTAGGAAATGACATCATAGAATTGATCTCCAAATGCAGTGTGTTACAAATCTATTATGAAATTGCTTTAGTAGAAGGAAAACAGAGAAGTTGGTCATCTACGTCACTTAAATTCAATTTTACTAATTTTATTTTATAGAGATAGTGATACTAACTTTCTTTTTTAAAGACAGTGATGAAAAATTTGGAGTTAAGTTTAGCCAACGGTTTGAATAGTTATAATATCCCCTATCCCTGGCCACTTTCTTCTTTGCTCTAACACTGAAGTGACAACCTGCTTTCAGTACTTGAAGCCCACTGAATGTGTTCACACTCAGGACTTCTGCATATTTTCACCCAACCCACTTCCAACAGCAGTTCTTCAAAGAGCTCTTTGGAAGTCACCAAGGAAAGTGAATCCCTTCTCTGAGTCATGGTTGCCCCAGGATCATTTCCTTTGTAGCGCTCACCACTGCGTGGAATAACTTTACTTGCTACTTCTAATCTCTTCCCTTTACTAGACTGATGATGTCAAGCACTCTCTCTATTTTTATATATTTTTTATTTTTATTTTTTGGTGGTACTGGGGTTTGGACTCTAGGCCCCAGGCTTGCTAGGCAGGGGTTTTACCACTCAAGCTATGCCCTCAGCCCTTTCTGCTTTAGTTATTTTTTTATTAGGATATATTCATTGTACGGGGGGATTCATTGTGACAATTCTGGTTAGATCATCTCCACTGTCTCTCTTCCTCCACCCCCTCCTTGCAGTTGAGAGAGATTTCTTTGTTCTATTTCATAAATGAAGTCCATCAACCATATACCCTCACCTTAATCTCCTTCATTCACCATCTCACAAGTACCCCCCACCACACACACACACCACACTGTTTTATAGTCCTGTCTTTTGTTATTATTTAAGTTGATGTTCCAAGGGGTTTCTCAATGGGTCTCTGCTTTCTCTACTCAAAGTAGTGAGTCTACTTTGCTTTGGTTCATTCAATTCTTACATTGCTCTCCCTTACCCTTTTGCCTCCCACCACCCCATTTTTCAATAGCTTTCAATATATATCCTTATATCCTCTGCCAACACAGATGGTATGTTTTATGATATTGTTTACTTTTTACCATTCTCTTTTCCTTTCCCTCCTTCTCCGAGTTCCACAGAGTAGTTCCACTGTTACAAACATTTTCTACATATGAGTTTGTTTATGATCATGTTTGTTTTTGTGTAAAAGTTTATCTTTTGGATTTATCTTCCACATAGGAGAGAAAACATGTAGCCTTTGTCTTTCTCAGCCTGGCTTACTTCACTTAACATGATGTCCTCCAATTACATGGCTGAGTAAAACTCAATTGTGTATATACACCACATTTTCTTGATCATTCATCAGTTGTAGGGCTCCTGGGTTGTTTACATAGCATGGCTATTGTGAATAGTGCTATGATGAATGTAAGTGTACAGGTGTCTTTGTTGTATCCTGATGTACGTTCCTTTGGGTAATATGCCCAGGAGTGGTATCACTGGATCACAAGGCAGTTCTATCATTAGTTTTTTGAGGAATCTCCATACTACTTTCCATAATGGTTGTACTAATTTCATTCCTACCAATAGTGTATAAGGTTCTTGTTTTGATGCATCCACCAGCCCTTGCTTTAGTTATTTTTGAGATAGGGTATCACATTTTTGCCTGGACTGTGACCTCCCTGTTTATACTTCCTATGTAGCTGGGATGACAGGCATGTACCACCATGCCCAGATAATGGTTGAAATGGGATCTTAATAATTTTGGGCTGTCTTGAACCTCAATCTTCTTGATCTCTACCTTCCAAGTAGCTGGGATTATAGGTGTGAGCCACTGTGCCTGTCTT